GGAACGCTATAATATCCGGAAGCCCAGACCCGTCATCCGCGGCAACGCTTAGATACCAGGGCCTTCCCGAGATGATCCGCACACTCGTCGATATGGACTTCCTCAGCGCCGAAGCGAAGGATTTCCTCGACTCCCCCATTCCCTGGAAAGAAGCCACCAGAAAATTCTGGGCGCCACCTCCTCCAGCGAAAAGGATCTCGAGTGGGCCATCTCGTCGCGCACCAAGTTCCCCACCACTGAAGAGAAATATCGTATCCTCTCTGGCCTCCGCTGGGTCGGGATCTTCTCTGACGAGAACATTATCCCCCGTGGCAACCCCCTGGATACGCTGTGCGCAACCCTAGAGTCCAAGATGCAGTACGAGGATGGTGAGCGTGATATGGTTATGCTCCAGCATAGGTTTGAGATCGAGCACGCGGATGGATCTAAGGAGACAAGGACTAGCACTCTGTGCGACTATGGTGACCCCAATGGTTATTCGTCCATGGCAAAATTGGTTGGCATCCCGTGCGGTGTCGCTGTCAAGCAGGTCCTTGATGGCACCATTAGTGCGAAGGTTCGTTTTGATATTACCTTTCCACCTGTTCTTTTTATATCTTATATCTTATTCCTTTTCTTTCTCAAATCCGAAGTTTATTCTTTGGGTTATTTTCCCCTCTATTTGCGGTAATAGTTGCTAACCACTTACCTACCTTTTTAGGGTATTTTGGCACCGATGAGCATGGACATCTGCGCTCCTCTGATTAAGACTCTTAAGGAGGAACACGGCATTGAGATGATTGAAAAGACTGTTTGAAACAATTCAATGCTAGTTGAAAGGGGTATTGCATTGGATGCGTTTTTCTTTTACACCATCAGGTCAGGGAAGGCAATTAAAATCTTTATAGAGGGTTGGGGGGGGTGGGGGGGGTGCACCATAGTACCTTACAAAATACCAGCCAATTGATTTCCCTGCCCACCTTATTTTGGTGCAGTGTTTTCACTTTCCGCTCACCATATGCGATACTAAATTTCATGGCATATTAAGAATCCCGCTAATAGCTTGATCATAATATATGCCATGGAAAGGTATTAGTTTCTGAATTTCGTTCATCAAGATCTGCCCTTGACAATGATCAAACCTTCTGCAGTGCCTTCATGCATGTATCAATTTCGGCAGGCAAGGGTGTGGATACTTCTGGATGCATAAGGCACTGGGATATTTTATGCCTATTTATTCACCCGGGAGCGTGGAAAAGTAATCGGATACTTCTTGAATGCCTTGGCTATTTTCAGGTAAGTGAATGGGTGCAGCACCATGTTGGCGTAGAGTAAGGTCTTAATATCCATCCATACCTTGTGCGTATTTGAAAGAGACGATAACCTCCCCGAAACGTTCGCCATTATCGTGTGCATGCCCAGGATCGATTTATGAATTCAACATCGAAACCAAGGCTATTCAACTCCATAAATACACACCATATCCGCTGAAGAACGAGCTTACGACAGATCGTAGGAATCTCCCGTCTTCTTCATCACTGTACCCAGTCATACCCTCGCATCCCATTTCCCCCACAGCTATTTGGGCGTCCCCTAAACAATATTCATCGATCCAAACTCTCCCGCGCACCGAACCAATATACCACACCAAATGAACTATGAACCGATGCGCGTCTTCGAGAAAGAAGGCATGTGGTTAGAAGAGCATGTCTAGCATGACAAAATTAGGTCTCAACATGAGCACGATGGATCCGATTACACTACTGGTGGTCTTTTGTGCATGAGATGAAAAGGGTGGAGAGCGAGACCGCGATGCTGATCAGGAGGGGGAGAGGGGAGGTGATTTTGATTTTCTGTTTCATAGTTCAAAAATTGTAGTGCAATCCCATCCTAAGACTAAAGGAGACGGGATGCTTGTATGTACATAATTAGGTTCCCCAATGAATAGGACATTTTCACGATTAATCTCCGCTGTCTGGGGATATTCCCAATAGCTTTCTCTGGGTAGTTTATCGGTTAGTTACCGGGTTACTGTGGTCCGAACAAGTTCGGGAAACGGAACCAAGCGGAAGGACTCCGCTTTTCCCATAAGCTTAAATACCTTAAATCCACCACTCACCCACCACAAACTCCCAAAAACAGGGGAAACTGCCAATTTTCATGACATCTGGTTCGGGCATGACTTTCATCGCCAGTACCCTACGTCATGATCTGGATAATGCTGCCGATGAGAGTTGAATTTTCTGCGTGATGGTCTGGAACGTGTGAATTGAATGCCAGATTCATTTACGAGACAGTCTCAGCGCCTACGGCATATATTGCCTTGATCTTTGGGATTCCTACTTCCAATGTTGCGATGCCTGATTTGATAGGGCACACAGAAACTGTGTATCTGTGTAATGAAAACTTGCTCCGAGCATCATTTGTGCAAAATGCTAGGACAGCCCCCGGATTCGTGTGTTCCCAAAGCCTGGAAAATTCCATGACAAACTTCGCAAACTGCTGCGCACGCATCTCTGGGCGGAGAAAACAGGGTGGTCTTAAATGTATTGCCACCTGAGAAACGATGTCATGGCAAGAAACATTACGTACGTCACTTGCAAATGGGGTCGGGAGTGGAGGACGGAAAACCTTCTCCTCACTCCACGAGAGTTTAATTTTTCATTCCAGCTGCTGAGCATGAGTGCGATGTTATATCTCGGGGAAATACACACCACGTGTTCAGAGACGAGATATTTGAATATATATGTTTCACCATCCCTGACGAATAGCTTCCGATAATCATTTAGCAGGAGCTGTGGAGAAATACAATAGTTGAAGAAGTTGAACACAACCCACCATGCGGCGCTCTCCATCAGCACGATCATCGACTTGGGCTGTCATATTAATTCTCTTCTTGCTAAGCGCGGTTGATAGCACTCCTATCAAAGAGAAAACTTACATTGAGGAAGAGTATGACTTCATAATTTGTGGAGGTATGGCTTTCTCAGTCCTCTGAGGACTACGGATACCAACTAAACGTCTATATAGGCGGCACTGTTGGCCTCGTTTTAGCCAACAGATTGTCTGAATCTGGCAGGAATAAAATTCTCGTTCTTGAAGCGGGGCCGGAACCCTCTGTCGTAGCAGCGTACGAGCCTGCTGGTGGCAACCAGTTCCTCGGAGGTATGCAGGGGATCTCCTGAGTTTTTGTCATGGACCTCAACTAAGTGTTTTACAGGAACTTCAATTGACTGGAACTTTCACACTGTCCCTCAGGAATATCTTGACGGGCGTATCTTGCCGTACCACCGTAAGTTCTCTGCAACTTCTCTCTCATGCAATGCCAATTGATATAAATACCATCAAAAATTATTCTTGCTGATATAAAATACAGGTGGCAGGTGCTTGGGTGGAAGCAGTGTCACAAACGGTCTGTTTTATGGTCGGGGTAGTGCCAGCGTATACGACAAGTGGGTAGAGCTTGGTAACCCTGGCTGGGGCTGGCATGATGTTTATCCGCTATTTGTGAAGGTAGGAAACCCTCGACTGTTCTCGGAACTCAAGTAACATTCCCTACAGAGTACTCGCTTTAATGCGCCGAACCCTGACTCCGAATTTGACCAAAGTTACCAAACATGGGATCCAAGCGCATATGCGGACGGTCCTCTAGATATTGCTTTCCAAGGCTATGTTCCTGAGTCGGGAATTGCATTCATTCAAGCTTGTGAAGCTGCCAATATACCTATCGTCAATGAGTTAAATTCGGGAAATAATACTGGTGTCAAGCAAGGTACTGGTTGTCTTGATAGTAGATACCGACGAAGCTCTAGTTATGATGCCTTTTATAAACAAGCAGCCGGTCGACTAAATTTGGTGGTTCTGCACCAAGCTCCTGTCTCTGAGATCATTACAAGACAAACAAATGAATCTATAGTGGCGACTGGAGTAGTATTTACTGAGCAGTTGACTGGTCGATCACGTAGTGTCAAGGCAAAGAAGGAAGTTATTTTGAGCTTGGGTGCATTTCAAACTCCTCAACTTCTCATGGTTTCGGTATGAGTTACTACCCCTGAATTTTCTCGCTACTTACTTACTATGGCCTAGGGAATTGGTCCCGCTTCAGAGCTGAACAAGTTTGCCATTGACCATGTTCTGATTAATGAGAATATTGGTCGCAAGTAAGTGGCTCTCGTGTCTCCATTTAGGGCACAACACATATGCCAACATTGATTTTTCAGCTTGGACGACCATTCCGTCTTCAGTATTATGGCTACTGTTCACCACAACGCCTCAACTAGCCAGATGTTTGCCTCTGCTAGCAATATACAAGCAGCTCAGGCTGAGTTTTACAACAACCTTACTGGCCCATACACAGCACCCTCAGGCATAACCAATGGGTTCCAGATGCTCTCTGATGACGAACTGCAGTCCATTGGTGCACATGACATTGTTGCTCAAGGCCTCACGAACCGATCGCACATCGAGTACCTCTACGAATCAATGTGGTATCCTGGGGGCCCAACTCCATATTATATTCCAGATGAAGATATCTCATACATCTCCCTCACCGCATCGAATCTCGTAGCTGCATCTCGGGGAAATATAACTCTTCGATCAAGCTCAATGAGTGATGCGCCCCTAGTTAACCCAAATGTAGGCAAGATCTTTTCTTTTTCGTACTGTCTAATTTATTAGCCATCGAAGCCTCCTGTGTCAAGAGCTAGAGAAGCTAACCGATCGAATTAATAGTATTATTCCCATCCGGCAGACCGCGCCTTAGGGATTCAGTCATTCAAGTATCTACGGAAGATTCTCGCGCATCCAGCATTTGACAGGTTCACAGTTGGCCCATCCCACGGAGAGGTTAGCCCTGGCCCCTCCGTCAGCAGTGACGACGATGACGCGATATTTGAGTACATCAAAGCAAATACCATCCCAAATTGGCACGCCTCGGCAACAACTCAAATGCGACCACTAGAAGACGGTGGAGTGGTAGACCCGAGATTGAGGGTTTACGGGATTCAAAATCTCCGGGTAGCGGATTCCGGTATCATACCGTTACTCCCTGATGTAAATATTCAGGGGCCAGTCTTCATGATTGGCGAGAAGGCGGCACAGATGCTCAGAGAGGATTGGGGAGACATTTGACTTTACTAACCTTCTTTTGGGTTGTGTCCGTTGTTTTCTAGACACACATTCCCTCCTTGGATCCTTCTTTATTTCACATTGGTTTGAGATGGGTAGCTGCTTGTAATGCCTTTTATTCGGTTAATTCAAACAGACTAATATTTATTTCATAAATAAATTAGGAATTGCAAAGTTCATGAAACAAAGCTAATATATGTCAAAATTACAATGTATGTAGGAAATTTCCTTATCCAGTTGACCAAGGTATCTGGTCGCTGAAATAAAATAACCACCACATAACAGATACCAGTCTGGAGAACTGTTAATTCACACCGAGGACAACTTTACCTCTAGCCCGTCTAGTATCAACTTTTGCAAACGCTTGTTCAAATTCTTCCAGCTTAAAGGTGCTGCTATCTTTGACAGCTGTCCACCGTTCGGCTCCATGGTAGAGAAAATGTCTTAACATCCTTCTCTGTGCAGTTAGCTGGCCTTTTCTCTTCTAGAGGCTGCACAATGCTGATCAACGTCCCCTCACCCTTACCACATCCCCCGACATCCCCTAAGTTCTCATTACTGAAGTAATCGATCGCCAGATCCATCGTCTTATTCCCATCTACAGCAGGCCACGCAGTTATGGCTGTCTTTTAACAATCGACTACGTCATTGGCACCTAGGTCACGGACATATTGTTCATTCTCCGATCCGCAGGATGCACAGGTGTGAAGGCCTGCAATTCCAGCAAGCTGGACGAGCCATAACCCAACACCACCTGATGCAGCTGTGATGAAGAAGATTCTCTTCCATTGGTTTGCGGTATTTTCAGGACCACCCGGTCCACCCTGAAAGAACAAGGCTTGCCATGCTGTAAGTGCCGACACAGCCATGGTTGTAGATTCTGCCCAGCTTAGATTGTTCGGTCTATGAGCAAGCTCAGAGGTCACTGCAATGGTGTAGTCACGAGCGCAGCACGGCCGAACATAGTTTGGGCGAGCGTAGCCTTGATCTCCAGCTACATATGAGGAACCCTCTGGCGCAGTAATGATAGTTCCGGCGAGATCCTAAGCAGGGATTATCTTCTCTTTACCCAGGATCGGAAATAGTTTTGGCCAACGAGGCTCTCCGGCACAAATAGCCGTTGCGTGGACACGGATAAGGTTCCCGTTAGATCTCAGCTTGGGTTTGGCAATAGGCCTCTATCTGAGGGTAAAGGTATCCTTCTCCACGTCTTGCCAAAGAGATCTAGCAGTAGATTTAAATAGTTGATGTGCCACGGCGCAATCTTGAGTGACAGTGGATGTTGTATAGGCTTTGGTGCTCTGGAGTGGGGTTAAAAACGACTGTATGTTGCGTGCGAGGTAGTCGTGCTTCGAGGCAAGGGGAGGGTCGTGAGTACGTATTGAACGGGTTGGCAGCCAACTCGTGTTCAAAGAATTCACCAAGCTAGTTGACTCTAGCATACTCCGTACATACAAAAATGTTACTGAATGTGAGTGTCGAGCAGGATAATAACCGTGCCATGCTTACTCACTCTCTCTAGTAAGTGTGCCACAGTGTACAGAAAACCACACTGTATAGAAAATATTTTGAATATCTTCATTCTTCATCTTCAAATAATCATTATTAATTATAATCATGTCTAAATCTTCTAATTATACTGAGAAGCAGTTGTAAAGAGCTGTTAATATATATAAAAATAATTCAAAATTAAAAATCATGTCTCTGTCATAAGAATTTAAAGTCTTATATATCATCTTATATGAAAGAATTAATGAGAAGAAATCAAGAATTATAAGAGTATCACTGAATTAAGTATTGAATAACAGTCAGAAAGAGATAATTAAGATATGAATTTATTAGTTAGATATTAATTTTTATCTATTTATTATTAAGTATATCAAAGCTGCTATGAACTGTATATTAAGATAGTATTATACAGATTCAGAAACTGCATCTCTTACAGTAAGTAAGATAAAAGTATATTAATTTATTAAATATCTATCAGATTATGAATAAGTTAAGTAAAAGCTCATGAATTTAAAATAAGTATCTTATGAGAATATAAGCTTCATTATTGTAATGTGACAGAACCGAAGTGATAGCTAGTCAGCAGTGTCACATAGAAATAGTTGTTTAAGAAGCTGTATGAGTGAGCTTGACTATCTTGCTTGAATAGTGAGCTTGTAGACTACAGAGTTATTATGAGAATATCACAGATATGATACTTAATATACTAAGAAGATTGTATAAGACACACAGTAGCTCTTATATATATTTCAGTAGAAGAAAAATGAATCACTGACTTCTTTAATGAAAAGTCAGCATCTAGCTATTCTATATAGACAATGAATGAATACTTTTCTCTTATTTCATAAGTGAGAATAGCTAAAGTAATATCTCAGTGATATCTCATTGTTAAGAAAGAGTAATCTGCTGATCTTGTATAGAAGTGAGATTCTTATATTCATCAATTAAATCTTTCTATGATATATCTAAATAATGTTATAGAGTAATTACAAACTGATTTAAATGAGATGAATTTATCTGTATAAAAGTGATGAGCTGTATGAAACTGTAATAAGATCTTAATATAGCTAGAAGTATGACAATACTCTTCTCTTTAAGAGTATAGTCTCTATACTCTTAAGATTACTGAATTAGAAATTATCTTTGTTATATAGTAATGATTACCAACTGATTAACAGTACATATACTGTGTATGATACAAAGATGAGTTTTTCTGCTGACTGTATAGATCTTTCTTTACTCATCTTTATTCAAATCAAATGTATGATAAGTGAGTTTCTTATATATCAATTTAAGATGAGAAAAATGTAGTTAATAAGTGACTTACAGATCTCTCATTATATTCTGTTCTATATATGAAATTCTCTATAAAAGTGATGTGTTTTAGAGATAAAGCTAACAGTAGTAACAGGATTTTTTTAAAAAGATTTTCTCTCTTATGAAATATTTTTCTTCTTTCTCTCTCAATTATAACAGTAAGTGCATGAGAGTATTATTCTTGAAGAATAATAAAGAACTTATTCTGATATTTTCTAGTGAGTAAACATCTTTGTGATGCAGCTGCAGTCTCTGTGACTACTAAGAAAGCTTAGTTGAAGATAAAGATAGCAGTGTCAATGAACTGCAGAAGTACTGCTCTTATTATCACATCTTCTTCTTCTTCTACATCTCTTGTGACTGTGATGATAGTAGCTGTATCTTGTAATGAGGTGTTATTTCTTCTGCTAACTAATTTGTCTGTGTTCAGTCTGTTCTCTGCTTCTCTTATCACTGTTGTGACATCACTCTCTCTCTTAATTAACACAGTGATGTATGACTCTGTGTAATCATTCAGAGAGAACTCTGAAGAGAGCTTGATTTCAGAGACAGTGACTTTAAGAAGCTCAATCTGTAGTTTCTCTCTCATATATCTGAGCTCTGCTCAGAATACTGCTAAGTTGAGTCTGCAGAGTTCTGCAGTTTCTTCATCTTCTCTCTGTGAGAAGACTCTGATACAGTCTCTGACTAACACTGCTACTTATCTGTGCTGTGTTAAGCAGCTGAAGAAGAAGAGAATTTTATACACTTATCTCTTCTCTCACTTCTGTTATTTCTATTATATCTATAATAATAACTTCTGTCTCTCTGTAAGTATTATCTCACAGAAAGACATTATATCAGCTCTGATAAGAAGTCTAGATACTTAAGTAGTACAGAGTGAGAATCTCAGAGCTTTAAGTATTAATAAATTCTATCAAGACTGAGAAGATCTCTCTTACTCATCTATAAAAGAAGATGAAAGTATGAATCTCTGAGATGAAAAAACATCTCAGAATAACTAATCTTAAGAAGAGATTAGTCAGTACTACTGTTAAAAGTATTACAGAGATTAATCACTGATTGAAGAGAATCTCACTTCAATTAAAGTAGATGACTGAGATACTTTATAAGTTAATAAGTTAATATTTTATACATTTCTCATACTCTTCTACAGTGCTGCAGTGCTAACTTCTCAGTAGATAAAGATACTAATACTGAAGACTTTAACAGTGAAGAATAAGTTTGATGAGAATATAATTATTGATGAGTAGACTCTGATCTCTCTTTTACTTTTTCAGCAGACTGTGATCTCATTAAAATAGCAGCAGTCTGCAGATTGATAATATTAATCTTTTTATTAATTTTCAATATCTCTTTTCTTTTAACTACTTCAGAAATTTTACACTTATATAATCTTATTAAACTTCTAAAAACTCTTTGAGAGAAAATAGAAGAAGAGTACTACAGAGCTTATAAGACACTGACTTACTATTATAAGATTATCTCTAAAAAACTCTTTAAGAAAAATAAGAAGTCTTAAGCAGTATTTCTTACTTAATATCTCTGATATGTAATAGAGCAGTCTCTACTAGCTGTCTCATAGCTTATAATTTCTTTCTTATCATTTTTCAAATACTTAAGCAGTTCTTATAAATTCTCTGATAATAAATAATCTTCTTATTTAATAAGATATTGAAGCTTGTTATAATATATTTACTTATTCAGTATATTTTTTATAAGATATTCAGTATTACTTTTAATCTTAATATTATCTGACTGAGACAGCTCTGCTCTGAGACATTGCTTATAGAACTTTAAATAGAAAATATGAAAAATAGAATAAATTGATTTTAATTCTATAAGTAATTTTAACTTATATATCTGCTTATTTATTACTCTTATTACTGAGAAAGATTCTAGCTACTACTTACTAAGCTTCTTATATAATCTCATTGTCTTGATATTCTTTACTGATAGTAGTACTTGATTCTCTATTAAGAACTTCATTAAAAGATGTTTTCAATTATAGTATTTCATCTACTACTTCTAAGTACAGTGAATACTTTTCACTATCTTCTTATAAATTTTATTCAAAAGTTTCAATCTTACTTTTACTTCTGATACTGAGAGATACTTTATTCTCTGTATCTATTTAATATTCTGACTGTCTATTTCTCTCTTTGAAACATTATCTGCAATATCACTGAATAATAAAGAATTATATTTATAATAAGTATAGAAAGAAGATATCTTTAAAATTATATTCTTTACATTGTTATATACAAATTCAGTGATTAGAAGATGTTTAAGTCAATCATTTTAATAATATAAATAGAATACTTAAAGATACTATTCTAGTATCTGATTCTGATATTCAGTCTGATCATCTGTCTGTAAATAAAATATAATACTGAGAAGACATCTTATTATAAGATAATAGTAAAAAGCCAATCAGTATTTACTGATGAAGAGGAATTCTTAATCTATTATTAATAATTTCAGAGCACTGTGATTATAAATAATAATATCTAAAAATAGATCAGTTAATTCAGAGACTTTAATCTTTTTATAAATAGAAATATATCTGATTATCTTCATGAAGCAGTTAATAATAATCAAAATTAAGTCATATTCTTTAACTCTTATTAACTTCAGTAGATTAACTATGAAATTCATTAATAGATTCTATTATAAGCTCTTTGAAACAGACAGTGATATCAACTCACTGTATTACTTATATCACAGAATCTTTATTCTTTAACAGATATTATAAGTCTTAATATACTCTTTAATATCTGTTCAGAGCTTGTCTTAAATATATTTATATTTTAGAAGCTTCTCAGTCTTCTCTAATCTAAAGTGTTCTGTATAAAGATTATTATAATGAATTCTTAATAACTTCTGACACATTACTCTGCTATAAGAAATGAAGACTGAATCATTCAGTAGTAGAAGTTCATATTCTTCTAGTTATCAGTGACTTGATTTCTTAGTGATATTATTCTGCTCAGAGTCTGTCTCTTTCAAGTTTAAATCAGATTCTTTCTTCTTTAACTTCTGAATTTGAGCTGTAGTAGAGATATTTCTCTTCTATAATTTATTAATAAATTTTAAAAGTAGTCAGATTAAAAGATTGTAGATTATTTCATTCTTTACTAATTCAATGATTGTAAGATATAATATAAGAAGCTTATAATCTTCAGTGTTAGTTCTCTGCAGAGATCTGAGTTTTCTTTCATCTTCTATACTGAGTTACACAGCTGTCTTTTCAGTGTCATTTTCAAGCTTCAGAGAACTTTAACTCTCTACAGTCAGCTTCTTCTGCAGTGATAACAGAGATTCTTTTATAAAATTCTTCTCTGTATCAACAATATTATAATCAGACTGTTTAGACAGTGTATCAGTGAGATTAAGCTGATCTGAATAACATCAGATATAGAAATCATACTCTGAAAGCAGCTCTGCTCATCTGACTTGATATTCTATCAAGCTCTTTGTTATCAAGAAGTAATGCAGATTTATATAATCAGTGAGAACTTGCACTGAGTACTTACTACTCTGAAGATAATGTTATCAGATCTTAAAGAATTTAACAATTACTAACATCTTCTAATTATAAGTATCATATCTTCTCTATGTAAGTAATAACTTCTTGAAGAAGAAGATCACTGATCTTTATTCACAGTGTCTTATAAACTCTGTAAAAAAGTCTTCTCTTATAGACAATTTATTATCTGTTTTCTCAGAAATAATTATTCTCTGATTCTTTCA